GTATTTGATATTCGGAACTCTTAATTTTACTCCTACAGACCTGTGTGGATGGCTAAAGTAACTTGTGTCTTGACATCCCAAGGCTCTTTTCTTTGCTCCAGAAATGTGACCAAAGATGGTTTAGAGAAAGCAAGACCTGTTTGGAGGAAAAAGATACATGACTGTCTGTGTAGTGTTCTCCTGAGAATTCACATTAGTATTCCAGTATTGGCCTTACAAGAAAAGAGGAGACATAACAAATTATTATAGAAATTAGGTCTTGAAATGTTTCCAAAGAGAAATTCGAATGCTTAGAAGTTTCTTCTCCTGAGCTTCATTTACAAGTAAAAATATTAAAAATAAAAGGAAAAACATTTTACTTGAACATGCATCCTCCGTGCCTTAGGCGACTGAATTTTTAACAGCAGTAAAGGACGCACACTTCCAAAACAGAGACTTGAAAACACGAGACGACAAATGTTTTCTCACCTATTCTATCCCCGTTTCTTTACGTAGGCATATGAATCTCCCTGAGTGAAAGCAAAGCTCTCACAAGACATTCTACAAAGGAGGAGGTTTGATGCTGACAGTGGATTAAGAATCTACTACAGGAGTGATCCTCACCAAGTAAAACAAGGTTGCTGTAATTCTCCAACATCACATCCTTGTACAACTTCCACTGAGCAGGATTCAGGCATTCACTCTCCTCTGGAGAGAAATCAATGGCCACATCACTGAATGACAAGGGTTTCTGAAAGACAAAGAAGTGAATGATACTACAAATTAAATTAATGAAAACATAATAACAAGAACAGCAAAGTCATCATGCGTTCGTGGACATAATTTTCATTATGCCGAACTGACACAATTTCTTGAATGCTAATTGGTGAAGGAGCGCGCAGCCCATTGTGTGTGCTCCATCCCTGGGCAGATGGGCCTGGACTGTATAAGAAAAGTAGCTGAGGGAATGGGGGAAGAAAGTCAGTCCCCAGCCTTTCTCCACGGTCTCTGCTTTAGATTCTGCCTCCAGGTTCCTGCTTTACATTCTTGCCCTGATTTCCCTCCGCGATGAACAGTGTCTTGGAAGCATGTGATGAAGTAAACACTTTTTGCCCCATGTTGCTCTTGGTCAGTGTCTTATC